CCCCCCCCGCAGGGCTGGTTCTCAACCGGAGCCTCCCCATCTCGGAGAGCCGGGCCGTGCAGCTGGCCGTGCTGGTCAACGACTCGGACTTCCAGGGCCCGGGGGAGGGCGTCATCCTTCTCCACTTCAACGTGTCCGTGCTGCCTGTCAGCCTGCGCCTGCCCAGCACCTACTCCTTTGCCGCGAGCAGGCGGGCCCGCCGCTTCGCCCAGGTGAGCCCCCAGCCTGCTGCTGCCTGCCTGGGGAGGGGTGTGGAGGGGCAGGAGACCCCCAGGGTGGGGTGCTCCGTTGAGCAGATTTCAAGCAGGGCTCGGGGGTGGGTGACACCCCCTCCCTGAGCTAAGTAGTACACGGAGTGGCCCCAGGGAGCTGCAGGCACGGGGCCAGGGGGGCTGGGGCCATGGAAGAGTCATGAACAGGGCTCGTAGGCTTTGTGGGCCCCTCTTTGCCGTTTCCTTTCTTGGCATCTTTAAAACATTTTGTACTCGTGAAAGAGCAGCGCCAGGTAAATCTATGCCTGCAGACTTGGAAAGACGTTCCTGGTGAATTAAGTGAAAAAGTGGTTTGTGTAAGTGTTGGTCTCAGGTGGCTCCCTAGGTTCAAAACGAAGTCCTCATTGCTGGCAGTTTGCAAGTGTGCAAATGCAGGCAGCAATGAACGGTGGTGCCCTTTTCAGGGAAAGATAGGGAGCGCTTCTACTTTCCACTTTTTTGCAAGTATGTTTACCAGAGCTTATTTTGCATTTGTCATTGGAAAATAACGATTAGAAATGGAAAAAATAAAAGTAATAAGTATTCGTCAAAGGAGATAAGGGATAGACAGGAGTGATCTCTTTTTCTCATATTAGCCAGTGTGTAACGTTTTGGTGCAGTTCTTCCAAGAATGTGTCTCTTAAGCGCTTTTTAAAGTTCTCTTGTGGTTACAGCAAGTGTATGACTTAACGTACTGCATTCTCCTAGTGGGGCAGCTGTGGCCACATCCTCTTTAGAACAACCCGTTTAGGGCCATCTCCTATTTTCTGGTGGTTTTGTCAGTTTCTGTGGTTGGTTCCCTTACCTCCTGGCAGCCACCCGGGGCCAGCAAATGAAGAACCCCACCCTTGGACACATCCAGGCTCCCCAACCTGCCACCCAACCTCGGGCCTTTCCTGGAGGCAGGGGTCAAGGGTGGTGGGAGGTGACAAAGCAGAGAGGTCTGAGGGATGTCTGGGGGTCTGAGCTGGAGCAGACATTGCTGGAGGTGGGTCACCTGTGCTCCAGCAAACTCAGGAGGGCACAGGGACCCGAGTTCCAGTGCAGCCTCAGACTCACTGTGGTCTCTCACCGGCTCCCCAGTTTTTATGATCGTAAATTGAGGATGATGACCTTGGGCAATTTTGAGGGTCATTGGAGAGAGTGGAAGTCAGCCCGGTTTGTACAGGGAAGTGCTTGGAGCCCAGCAGGTGGTTTTATTGTGGTGTGTGGCATGGGCTTGGAGGAGCCTGGCTCTGCCCTGGGCCTGAGTCGGGCTGAGCAAGGGCATGGTGTGTGGCTGCAGGCAGGGCCCTATCCCCGCTCCCCCCACCAGGCCCCCAGCCCTCAGCCTTGACTAGTCGGAGCTTCTGATCTCAAGCCACCGCAACCCTTACGGTAACTCGAGTGGCTGAGGGGGTGAAAAGGAGAGTTCAACTGACCAGCTCCGGGCCCCAGTGACCACAGCTGCCAGCCTGGCATCCCTGGGAGAAGCATCCCTTCTCTCCCAGGGGTTCCAGCCCAAGTCCCAGGAAGGCCCCCTGGGTCCCATGTGGGGCAGACAGCCATGCTGCATGAATCGTGGCCCGGGTGCCGTGCTCTGACTAACCAGGCGAGCGACCTGTCGCTCGGCCGTGGACCACCCCAGGTAGGAACTGGTGGTCCCCAGGGCAAAATTGACCTGGCCAGAAGAGAGGGAGGTGTGTAGGAGGCATACAGGCTGCCTTTGTGCCTGAATGAGTGGGCAAGTGAGGGATGAGCTGGGCAGGCCAGCAGCACCTCCCTGGAGGGCCAGCCCCCAAACCAAACCCCAGTGCCCCGTGTTCCTTCGCCTCCGGCTCTGAGGGGCAGGTATGGATGGTGGTCCCATGGTCTGGGCAGGGCAGGACCAGGCAGGTGGATGGTCTGCAGGTTCCGGGGGCGTGCAGGATGGGGAGATGGGGAGCTACCGTCCTGGGCTGAGCAGGAAACTGTCCTGGGTCTCAGGCTGCCAGGGAGCCCCTCCAGCCACCATCACAGGTGGTCCAGCCACCCAGCTAAGGATTCCCTGTGTCCCATGCCTAGATTGGGAAAGTCTGTGTGGAAAACTGCCAGGAGTTCAGTGGCATCCACGTGCAGTACAAGCTGCAGCTCTCCAGCGCCAACTGCAGCGCCCTGGGGATGGTCACCTCGGCCGAGGACACCACGGGGACCCTGTTCGTGAACGACACGGAGGCCCTGCAGCGGCCCGAGTGTGCCCAACTCCAGTACACGGTGGTGGCCGTCGAACGGCCAACCCGCCGGCAAGCCCAGGCCCCATTGCTCGTCACACTGGAGGGGACATGTGAGTGCCAGGGCTGTGGGGAGGGTCGGGCTTCTCCCACAGAAGGGCCCCAGTCCCGCTCCCCCTCACTAACTGGTGGTCCCCTGAGCCTGAGCCTTCTCCCGTGTACGATGAGAATACGGTGCACACTGCGCAGCCAAGCTGGAGGGACGACCGGGGGAAAGTGTGAAGAAGTTTGGCCAGAGTGACGGCGTTGAGGACGGTCACTGCTGCCCCTCACCTCTGTCAGTGTGTCCTACCTATGCACCTGCTTTAGGGCTGCCAGATACAATAGAGGCCCCTGGTTAAACGTGAATTTCAGGTAAACAACAAGCAAGTTTTTTGGTGTAAGTACATCTCGTGCAACTTTTGCAGTGTCTCTTGGAGGACAAACTTGCAAGCGTGTCACCGTGATATTAGGGACGTATTTACACAAAGCAGGTGTTCACCGTTATCTGAAGGTCAGGTTTAGCTGGGTGTCCTGTGTGCCGCTGGCCGAGTCTGGCCACCTCACACCCTCCCTCCATACTTAGCCCAGTAGCTGTCCCCGCTTTGTGACTGTGGTACCACCACTTCCTCAGCAGCCCCCTCACTGCCCTGCGCCCCGGTGCTTAGTTACCGCCTCCCCTCTGGGCTCAACCCGTGGGGACAGCTAAGCCAGTGCTGCAGGGCCCAGGCTGGCCCCCTGTGACTTGCTTTCTGCCACCCCCAGATGTGGCAGAGGAGCCAGGCTGCCCCCTGTCCTGCGCGGTCAGCAAGAGGCGGCCCGAGTGTGAGGAATGCGGCGGCCTGGGCTCTCCGACGGGCAGGTGCGAGTGGAGACAGGGAGACGGCAAAGGTAGGCCCCGTGCAGAGCCGGGTGTTCGGGAGGCTGATGACGGCTGAGTGGAGAGGGCGTCTGTGTGGGCCCTGCCAGCCTCTGGGATGCTCTCCAGCCCCGCCCACTCTGAGTCTCTTCCCCAGCGCCTTGTCCCCTGCTGTGTGACTCCTGATGCCAGGAGAGGGTGGACATGAGTGCAGGGTGGCATGAGGACATTGGGGCTGTTTATCACCGTGGGATCACAGGTGCCTGAGGCTGGACTCGCTCTGGGCTTGGGAGGGTCTGGGCCAAAGTTGGGATGTGCGTGTTTGCTTTTTATTTTATTCTAAATTTCTGTACATATGTTTGTCCATAAACTAGATGTGAATTGGCATCTGTGTCTTCATTTCTCCACCCATATACACATAAATTACATGTACAGTTGTGAATATATTCACCCAATGCTTTTATTTTTTTTAACTTTTTATTTTATATTGGAGCATAGTTGAATAACGACGTTGTGTTAGTTTCAGGTGCACAGCATAGTGAGTCAGTTATACACATACACGTATCTATTCTTTTCCAAATTCTTTTCTCCATTAGGTTGTAGGTAACATTGAGCAGAGTTCCCTGTGCTCTACAGTAGGTCCTTGTTGGTTATCCATTTAAAATATAGCAGAGTGTACATGTCAATCCCAAACTCCCTAACTATCCCTCCCCCTAACCTTCCCCCATTCACCCACTGCTTTTATTTTTTTTTATTTCTTATAAATTTATTTTATTTTATTTATTTATTTTTGGCTGCATTGGGTCTTCGTTGCTGTGCACGGGCTTTTCTCTAGTTGTGGCGAGCGGGGGCTACTCTTTGTTGTGGTATGCGGGCTTCTCACTGCGGTGGCTTCTCTTGTTGCGGAGCATGGGCTCTAGGTGCGCAGGCATCAATAGTTGTGGCACATGGGCTCAGTAGTTGTGGCTCATGGGCTCTAGAGCGCAGGCTCAGTAGTCACGGCGCACGGGCTTAGTTGTTCTGCGGCATGTGGGATCTTCCCGGACCAGGGCTCGAACCCATGTCCCCTGCACTGGTAGGTGGATTCTTAACCACTGCGCCACCAGGGAAGCCCTCACCCACTGCTTTTAGACACATAGTTCACAGACCCTTTTCAAAGGTCCAAAAGGTGGATGAGTATAAGGTAGGTTACACTGTGCACATCATTCATAGTTGGCTTTAGTTCATAAAAACACAAACCTTAAAAAAAAAAATTCAAAATATCCAAAACAATCTTCAGAGAAGCTCTACCTGGGAGATCCCAGCCCAGGGAGCGTGGCCCCAAGCAGGAGGGGCCTGCACATCCTTGGGCTTAGCCCACTGCTGGCTCCAAGCCTCACCCACCGGTGTGAGGGTACCGCCTTGAGAGGGTCCCAGCCTTGTCTGGTCTCTTCTGGCCTCCTTGATGTGAGCCCGGGCACAGCCCTGGGACTGCCCAGCTCCTCCAGCCCTCACTGCCCGGGCTGCCCTGTACACCCTGCACCCCCAAGCTCTCCCCAGGGATGGGCTCCACGTGTGGTTTTTCTCGGCTCAGGCCTTGGTTTGCTTCTCCTTGCGGGGGGCAGTGCAGGCTTGGCCTGGGAGGCCCTGGGGTGTGGCCCTCCTGGCTCTGGCAGTCTGACCAGGACGGGTGTTCCCTCATGGTAGTAACTGCCTGCTGTGTGCCATAGGGATCACCAGGAACTTCTCCACCTGCTCCCCCAGCATCAAGACCTGCCCCGACGGCCACTGTGACGCCGTGGAAAGCAGAGATGCCAACATCTGCCCCCAGGACTGCCTCCGTAAGCACCGAGCCTGCGCGTGTACCTGAGCAAGGGCAGGGCCTGGGAAGGGGGCGTAGGTAGCAAGCTGAAGGGGCTCGGACCCCCACCTGCACTTCAGCCAGGCCAGCCAACTTCCTGGGTTGCGTGTGCTGAGCCTTTTTCTAACATTTCATTTGAACAAAGGGCTCTCCTACCCCAAGACTAGCGCCTGCTGGCCTGACCCACCCTCTCCAGTGTTGCCCTGGCCGACTCACGGGGGTGCGGCGCTCTGTCCCCCTTTCCGCTGGCTCCAGGCTGCCCCTGCTGCCCATGCTCTGCTTCTGAAAAGTATCCATGTGTGGACCTCAGCAAGGGCCCTGGGCAGCCTGTGGGTTCCTCCTCTCGCCCGCTGTGGCCAGGGGACTGGTTCGGGGGCCTGTCGTGCTGAGACTCCTGCCTGAGTGACACAGACTTCGGAGCTCACTGCGCTCCCTGGGCCTGAGAGTGCTGCCATCAGGTGGGGAGGGGCCTCTCACGCTCCTGTCTGGGTGGTCTGGCTGGTCAGGTCCCCCCGAGGCCGAGTGCGCTGCTGAGTGAGTTGTGTCCGTCATCAGGGGGCGGCAGCATCATTGGTGGGCACGAGCCTGGGGAGCGCCGGGGGATTAAAGCCGGCTTCGGTATCTGCAACTGCTTCCCGGAGGAGAAAAAGTGCTTCTGCGAGCCGGAAGACAGCCGAGGTGAGCTGGCTGGGGCCGCGCGGGCAGGGATCCCCACACCTCCCTGAGCCCCAAGGAGCGAGGCAGGAAATTGCAGGAAGGCGCGGAAACCCGGGAGACCTTTTTCCTTCCCTCGGGGTCTTGGTTCCCCCATCTGTGCAGACAGGGAGCTGGGTCAGGGCCTCTAAGACTGCCTTCTGGCCTGAAGTTTGGTGGTGTTTTGGGGTTTTATTGGTGTGCCATGCAGCTTGCGGGATCTTAGTTCCCCAGCCAGGGATTTTTTTTGTTTTAACGTCTTTATTGGAGTATAATTGCTTTACAATGGTGTGTTAATTTCTGCTTTATAACAAGGTGAATCAGCTATACATGTATCCCCATATCCCCTCCCTCTTGCGTCTCCCTCCCACCCTCCCTATCCCACCCCTCTAGGTGGTCACAAAGCACCGAGCTGATCTCCCCGTGCTATGCGGCTGCTTCCCACTAGCTATCTGTTTTACGTTTGGTAGCGTATATATGTCCATGCCACTCTCTCACTTTGTCACAGCTTACCCTTCCCCCTCCCCGTGTCCTCAAGTCCATTCTCTACGTCTGTGTCTTCATTCCTCTCCTGCCCCTAGGTTCTTCAGAACCTTTTTTTGTTTGTTTTTTTTTAGATTCCATATATGTGTGTTAGCATATGGTATTTGTTTTTCTTTTTCTGACTTAACTTTACTCTGTATGTCAGACTCTAGGTCCGTCCACCTCACTACAAATAACTCAATATCGTTTCTTTTTATGGCTGAGTAATATTCCACGGTATATATGTGCCACATTGTCTTTATCCATTCATCTGTCAATGGACACTTAGGTTGCTTCCATTTCCAGCCAGGGATTATAGAACCCATGCCCTTGGCAGTGAAAGCACAGATCCCTAACCCCTGAATCACTAGGGGACTCCCTGGCCCGAAGTTCTGTGGTAAGGGTTGGGCTGGAAAATTATTTCTTTCACCAGATAACTCAGCGCCTGCTCGGACTGTCCCTGTGCAGGGCCTTTGCTGGGCCCACGGCATTGGCCAAATGGGTCGCCATCCTCCTAGCCAGAGCCTCTAGGTGCTTCTTCTGGGACAGCAGGTGCCCCACTGAGCACATGCGGACGTGCTGAGCCCAGGGATGCTTTTCTGGTATTTGGGTTGTTATTGCACAGCTCTAGGTCCTGGGCCACTTTTCTTTCCTCCCTCCTTTATACTGACTATAAAGAAAATACAAAAGACATCAGGAACACAGGGGAAGAGCTGCACTTCCCCACCGGCGTCCCTGGGCCTCTGGCTTCAGTGCAGCGTTGTAGGGTGGGTGGGTGCAGGTGTGCGTGACGTCCGTTGTGTGACCTTAGGCAGGCTGCTTCTAAACTCTCATTCCTTCTGTAAAAGGGGGGTAACAGTCTCCAATGACAAAAACGTGCAGAACAGTTCCTGCTGTGGGCCGCTTCCATTGGAGGGTTGGCAATTACTGTCAGACCTTCACACCTGCAGCGCTCTCCAGGATGCTCAAAGCTGGTCACAGCAGACACTTGCCGGCTGTCCTGGGCATGGCGGGCTGGGGAGCTGCTCTGTACCAGCTCCTGAGGGCATCCGGGGTCCCCCTCCCGGGGTGTCATCTCTCACAGCCCGCCCCCGCTGCCTGCAGGCCCGCTGTGCGACGAGCTTTGCCGCACGGTGATCGCGGCAGCCGTGCTCCTCTCCTTCATCGTGTCCGTGCTGCTGTCCACCTTCTGCATCCACCGCTACCACAGGCACGCCCACAAGCCGCCCATCGCCTCAGCTGAGATGACCTTCCGCCGGCCTGCCCAGGCCTTTCCGGCCAGCTACTCCTCATCTGGCGCCCGCCGGCCCTCTCTGGACTCCGTGGAGAACCAGGTCTCTGTGGATGCCTTCAAGATCCCGGTGAGGTTCCCCGTGTGGCCTCGGGGCTGGGGAGGCAGCTGCCCCCGGGGGCCGGGGAGGGGGCCTGCAGGTCGCGCCGGCCTCTGGGCTTGGGCAGCTGGGAGGGGAGGAGGGGACGGGTCACCTGGGGCTAATGCGTTCTCACCCACTGGGAGGACACCCTGAGCATTCCAGCAGCCCCCTGTCTTCACTGAGCGGCCTTCCAGGCAGGGGCGGAGAGCGTGGGGCAGGGTGGACAACGATGGGTACTGACTTACATGGACTGAGATCTGGGCCCTTAGGATACGGGGAGGGTGGGCCGTGCTGAACCTGACCTGGGAGCTATCCTGCAGATGCCCCAAGCGCTGGGAGGAGGAAGGCTTGGGGGAGGCGCTGAGGAGGACCGTGGATTTTATCCTCAGAGGGTGGGACCCCTGGGGGCGGGGCCCATGTTCTGCCTTCATTTCCGCAGGCCGCTCTGTTGGGAGTCTGTGGGGTGGGAGCCCCACGATGAGGCACTGTCCCTATCCCGGCGAGAGAGGTTGGCAGGCGGGGGCTTGGTCAGGGTGGCAGCAGCAGAGAGGGGAGTCTGTCTCTGGCCCCGAGGGAGGGGGCACTGAGGGGCCTCTAGGGCACCTGCGGGGGAGCCAGGCCCGGGCCCGTGGCTGGCCGGCTGATGAAGAGTGCCATCCAGAGCCAGCAGGCTTCCCGAGCCCCTCCTGCATGGCAGGGCCTGGGCCTGCGGTCAGTGTGCGCGCGTCAGACATCACCCCGACCTGGCCAGGCCACTCCTCTGCCTGCCGTGCCCTTAGCGTGCTTGCTGGGAGCGCCCAAGTTGCTGGCAGCCGGGTGCTGGGAGGGGCTGAGAGAGGTGGCCAGAGCCGAGGGTGCGTGGGAACAGAAGTTCCCCCCACGAGGCTGGGTAGGGAGCGTTGCGCCCTATGCAGGAAGCTCGGCACCCGGGGGCCACAGTCTGCAGCCCAGAGTAGGAGGTAGCCAGGGTTCATAGGAGGTGCCACCCAAAGGGTGCTGGCCCCTCGGTGAGGGTCTGGGCCGTGAGGGCTATTCCCTGACGTGGTGGCCACAGAGGCCTCCCTCCTGACTTCCCTAGTTCCCATCGCTCCACAGGTGGGGTTCTCCAGCCCCAGCAGCATCTCAGCCTCCACAGCAGGCGTGTGGGACGAGCCGTTTGATTCCTTTAAATGCCCTGGCAGTTTGGGGCTGAGGCGCACGGTGAGAGTGGTGCTGGTAGGTGTGTGCTCAGGGGGAACTCCTCCGCAAAAACCACCCTCGGCCCGCGTTGCCTCCAGCCCAGAGCCCAGAGCAACTCAGAGCCGGGCCCGAGGTCCGGGGGCCCCGCTGACCAGCTCCAAGGTCTTCGATGTGCTACGCAATCTTTTGGCCTTTGTTTTGTCTCATGTAAAGTGGGGGGAATGGTTTTTAACATTTTTAAGAGGATCAAATAAGTGATCTCCACCTTAGCGCAGTCTCTGTGAGCAGTAAACTGTTATCCAGTGCAGTGTGGGCACCAGGGCGGTGGTGACCGTGTTGTCAACACTGACCCTGACTATGGGTTCTTGGGGAACCTGAGATACCAGGGCGCCCGGGAACTGGCTGAAAGGCGCCCCTGGCCATGGTGCTGAGAGGAGGCTGCCTTGCTCCCAGATGTCAGAACACAAGGCTCTGTTCACTGGGGGGCATTGCGTCCCCAGTGGTGTCATCTCCGTGTGTTAGGCGAGCCTGGCAGGGCACAGCGTAAACAGCACCTGAAGCCACACCCACTCGCCAGCTAATTGCAGCGAGGCTTGGGGTAAAGGATGCCCAGTGCTGGCACAGGAAGGCAGGTTCCAGACTGGATTCAGCATCCCCAGAATTCAAGTACATGAGCCAAGCTGGGGGTCTGGGAAGCTGCCCTGGTGTGGTCTTGAGTGGGCACGGTATGTGGATGGGACTTCAGTGGGAAGGCAGGGGGGTGCAGGTCCAGGGTAATGACTGGGCCTATGGGAGGAGCAGGCTCTTCCACGCGTTGGGGTGGAGGTTCCCGAGGAACATAGTGGCACCTTTCCAGGGGCTGCCACACAGGGAAGGTGTCCTTGACACTCCCACCAGTAGCCAGGGGTCCTGGGCTGGTAGGCAACTTGGGCCACTGGTGCCAGTTCGGTTCTCTTGGGAGTCCTGGGGGGGGGGGTCTCTGGAAAGGGCACCTGAAGATCTGGGCTGCTGGCCAGTCCGTGCCTTGTGGCCTGGTGTCCAAAGCGGAGATGGTGCTGAGCAGCTTGGGCCTGACTCCCAGGGAAGAGGCCATGCTCCCCTGTGAGCACCTGTGGGTGCTGAGTAAGCCCTGAATCCCTCATTGGACAGACAAGGACACGGGCCTGGGGTGGCACAGGGCATCTTCAGTAGACAGGGGCCAGCAAGGGTACGGACATACAGAGTCCAGGCTGGTTTGTGGCAACACCTGCCTTCCCACGGGGGAGACACATCATGTCACGGCACCTCAGGGCCTGGCTGTGGGTCCTGCCCTTGCACATGGTGACTGTCACGGGCTGGTTCAGGGGACAGTCAGTTGTCTGCACACTGGAGCTCGTCCACCAGGTCTTGCCTTCTTCCTTTTCTCACCACCTTTCTTCCCTCTCTTCTTGTCTCCCTTCCTTCACACTCAACATAGGAGGATCCAAAGTGGGAATTCCCTCGCAAGAACTTGGTTCTTGGAAAAACTCTGGGAGAAGGAGAATTTGGAAAAGTGGTCAAGGCAACGGCCTTCCGGCTGAAAGGCAAAGCGGGGTACACGACTGTGGCTGTAAAGATGCTGAAAGGTATCTGTCCAGGCAGTACACAATGATGGTTCTGCCACGCACACCTGCGGGCGCCCCAAGGGGTGGATGAAGCCACGCGACAGCCAGGGTTCTGGCAGCTGGCCTGCTGCCTCCTGAAGAGGCCCCCCTGTTGCTCTTCCTGAGTGGCTGCAGTCTGGGGATCGCTACCATGGATGATGTGGGCTGGCATGGTCCCTGGAGAAGCAGGGTGAGGACGTTCCTCCCTTGGAAGGTTCTGGAGTGGTGCTACCAGTGGTACCAGTGTTGGGTAAAGATCTGAGTTTAAATTAAAAGCCCTTTTGGTTTTGGACTGACAGCTCTCCCCAACCCAGTCCACTGCATTCACTTCTCTCAGCCAAGCATCCACCAGAGTCCTGGTGAAGAGACCACCTGTTAAGGACCAGTCCCTGCCCCCTAGGGCCCTGCCTTGCCCAATCCCCACTGGTCCTCAGCGGGTCTGCCCTGCCCCAGGCTTGCCGCAAGCTAGGCATCCTCACTGGAGTTTCTCAGCAGAGACTAGGCACAGCCGGGCTCTGGCCCAAGTGGACTGTCTGAGGGCCCAGCGGCCGAGCAGTGGACACAGTCGGCTGATGCACACGTGGGGTCAGCAGTCAGGGGGCCACGCAGTGCACAGTGCTTCTGGATACTTGCCCAGGCCCTCAGACTGGGGTCGCCCCTTGCCCATGAGATCCCAGGCCCTGAGGGGCACAGTGAGACTGGCCCTGGGTCACCCACATGTGGTCCAGAGAGTCCCAGTGCCCCATCTCCCAGCTGTCTTCTCATCTCCAGACAAGTCTGCACCCAGAGGAGGTGACACAGCTGGGCACTGGGCTGTGGGACCCTGACCCAGGAGGACTGTGTAGCCACAGCTTTTGTCTCAGAATACCTCCACACCCAAGCTTCTGGTGGCAGCCCGAGCATGCTCTGTCCACCCTTGGGACACACGTGCTCAGCGTGGCTGGAGGACTTCTGTGATGTCTGGCGGTCTTCACCTTTCTGCAGGGCCTCACCCGCCACTGTTGAGCGCTTGGTCAGCAGGTGTTTGGGGACAACAGGGAGTCCCTTTACCTTCCCAGAAGGGTTAACGAGGGGGTCTCTGTGCACCACTGTCTTTGAGAGATGGTGATTGCAGGGAAATAATGCCATTTGTGCGCACAGCCCAGCCCTGGGAGGCTTTCCATGGAAAGATCCGCTCGTGTGGAAGTGTGCTTCTCGGGTTCTTACTCCCCAGAGGCACACGAGGCTGCTGTTGACCCTCCCACGGGCTGAGAGTAGCTCTAAGCAGTGGGACCCTTGCAGGCCTCATCTGAACCTGGGTAGGATGTCTCTGAAGGGGATAATGGGTCTGTGCAGACCGCCACCCGCCCCCGCTGTGGGTGCCATGACCCAGCAGGGCTGCAGAAGGGGCTAACAGAAGGGACAGCTTTGCAACCTGCTGTGTTTACGTGCATTTCAGAGAACGCCTCAGCGAGCGAGCTGCGGGACCTGCTGTCAGAGTTCAACCTCCTGACGCAGGTCAGCCACCCGCAAGTCATCAAGCTATACGGGGCCTGCAGCCAGGACGGTAAGGCCAGCCAGGGACGAGCAGCCACCAGGCACAGGCCAGGGGGCTCTGGGCCGCTCCATTCTGCCTCCTTCCCCTTCCCCATCCTTTCCTCCTTGGGCGCCTGTTCTCTCTCCTACCGGAAGCAGGGTCTCTGGCTCTGGCTCCTGCCTGGAGCTTGCGTGTCAGTGAGAGGGCCGGAAGGGGTGCAGCAGGAGTGCTTGTGTGAGGCCTTCCCCACAGTGTGTTCCCTGGGCCTGCCAGGGCTGCCACGAGGTCTCTGGGGACATCCTGGTTGTCAGCACCCTGCTCCAGGCAGAGTCCCCAAGGCAGGCAGCTCCAGAAACGAGCACTACCTCCTGGGCACGGGGAACCAGACATGCCATAAGCTCCGGGTGACCCCAACCCCAGCCCTGCGTGGCAAAGGTGTTGTCACCATCTCTCACATAAAAGCATCCTGCTCTGCTGGTTTTCCAAACCTGCTGTGCCACCCAAGGGACCTCCCACTGTGTGTGTGTGCGTGTGTGTGTGTGTGTGTGTGTGTGTGTGTGTGTGTGTGTGTGCGTGCGCACGTGTGTGCGTTTTGGGTGTGAGGGAGACGGGGCTGACAGGGAGAGGGCAGCAGGGACACTGGTCAGAGCCAGCAGAACTCAGGGCTGGGCCTCTGGCAGGACTGCAGCCCAGAGCTGCTGGGAGCAGACAGGAGCAGGGAGCACGTGGCCACGGGCAGATCCAGACCTTGCCTCTGTCAGCCGTCCCCAGGCCATGCTGTGGCAGGACCGAGGATGCAGAAAGGCCTGACATCCTAGCAGCAGGGCGTGCCTCCCAGGACAGTCCTGAATGCAGTGACCGCCTGCCTGGGGCACCCAGGGAAGAGGTCACGCTCGACCACCCAGGCAGCTGGCTTTGGCATGGCGCCCGCAAGGCGGAGAGCCAGTGATGTGAGAGTGAGCTGGGGCTTAAGTCCTCAGGCTGCCAGAACGCAGGCACTTGCCCCCCAGAGCAGGGCTGGGTCTGTCTGCCCAGGTGCAGAGCCTGCCCAGGGGCCCTGCGGCCTGGCCCATGCTCTGGGAAGCAGTTGCCCAGGGCTGGCCTGACTTCACCTGCCCGGGGCACTTCAGGCAGCCAGCCCACAGCCCCCTCTGCCCCCAGGGCCGCTGCTCCTCATTGTGGAGTATGCCAAGTACGGCTCCCTGCGGGGCTTCCTCCGAGAGAGCCGCAAGGCGGGGCCTGGCTACGTGGGCAGCAGAGACAGCCGCAACTCCAGCTACCTGGACAACCCGGAGGAGCGGGCCCTGACCATGGGCGACCTCATCTCCTTCGCCTGGCAGATCTCGCGGGGGATGCAGTACCTGGCCGAGATGAAGGTGTGTGCCACCCCAGCCCTGCCCTCCCCTCCGCCTGCCATGGGCCCGGGTGTCAGGGGTCCCTGCCGTTGTCTCTCTTGCAGCTCGTCCACCGGGACTTGGCAGCCAGAAACGTCCTGGTGGCCGAGGGGCGCAGGATGAAGATCTCGGATTTTGGTCTGTCCCGAGATGTGTATGAAGAGGATTCCTACGTGAAGAGAAGCAAGGTACCGTGTCCTGGGGCTCCCGGGCTGGGTGTGGGTGACCGTCAGGGTACCCACAGGGCAGGGGCAACATTTCTATCTGGAGAAGATAAAGCAGATTTTTAGAGTATAAATTTCCAGCCCTCATCCCTAAACCCTTCCCCAGGCCTGGGTCCCCAGAGACCCAGCTCAGGACTCAGCCCCAAGTCTGTTCCTTCTCTTCGTCAGGGCCACACGTGGTCTTGCAGAGCTGCCCGCTGAGTAGTGGGGACCCTTGCAGCTTCTCTCTCTTTTGATCACTATCCTTTTTGAAGGTCACCTAACACTGCAGAAGCAACAACCGTCTTCTCTGCAGTTGTTCCTCTTGATTCTACGGGGCGAAGGTCACTGTTTCCTTTAGTCCTTTGCTTAGAGGAGAGAAATGAAGTAAACCCAAGCTTGCTATTCATTCCTTGCAGAAGGGAATGAATCGCTTTACAGGTGGGGATTCTCCTGGGACGAGGGCCTGGGAACCCCTGCCTAAGAGAGTTTGGAAGATGCCCCAGGAGGCGCTGGAGACAGGGTCTGGAGTCGCAATGTAGGGATTTCAGAAGCTTTTTCCGGGTCACTGAAACAGGTGGTCAGGGCCCCTTCTCGGGAAATCTGGTTCCCTGGCGTGGTCCAGTTCTCTGTGGCACTGGTCTTGACCCTCTAGTTCTGTTGCCCTCTCAGCCCCTCTCCTGCAGCCTCCCTGTGACAGACTGGACAGGGCCAGCTCACGGGTACCTTCAAGACACACAGCTGACCTGGCATTCAGAACATATGCTGCTCAAAAGGAAAAACACAGAAAGTGATGGCATACACCTCAGCTTTGCTCTGAGGGTCAGGAGAAGACCTGGTGTTGCCAGGGGCTGTGAGGGTGATGTTTCATTTCTTCTGGGCTGTCCATTGTGACAGCACATCTCAGAAGTGCTGAAGGGGAAGTGGAGAGGGGCTGCTCCCTGCCCTGTGGAGGGCAGTGGACAGAGCTTTCCTGTTGACACACAGGTCCTCAGGAAAGCCCCATGTCATGAAGCAAGAAGCACAATGTGGCCAAGCACGTCCCCCAAGAGCACAGGCTGTAGGCAGCGTTGTTAGGAACACACACCCCCGAAACAGTCACACTTCATTAAGAATATAAATCCTAAAGAAACATTTTTTTCTAATTTATTTAATTTATTTTTGGCCGTGCTGGGTTTTCGTTGCTGTGTGCGGGCTTTATTTGCGGCGAGTGGGGACTACTCTTCATTGCGGCCCGTGGGCTTCTCATTGCGGTGGCTTCTCTTTTTGCGGAGCATGGGCTCTAGGTGCGTGGGCTCAGTAGTTGTGGCTCGCGGGCTCTAGAGCGCAGGCTTAGTAGTTGTGGCGCACAGGCTTCATTGCACTGCGGCATGTGGGATCTTCCCGGACCAGGCTCAATGTCCCCTGCATTGGGAGGCGGATTCCTAACCACTGCGCCACCAGGGAAGCCCAAGAATACTTTTTTAAAAGGAATTATAGTAAACGTTGCATTGAAGTCCAATGCATGCCTTTAAAAAAAAAAAATTGATTTCTGCCTTAAGGCTGACCTATTTGTACTGAAAAGCTATTTCTCGTGTTGCATTAGAAAGGATTTGTTAGGTCTGACCCCAGCACCTCTGTGGTAGGGGGCACTCTTTCAGAGGATGCTGAAAGGGCCCTGGGATAAAATAAGAGGTAAAAACCAGCCCGAAGGCACACACACTGATTTCTTCCCTCAGAGCTTCTCAGAAGAGCCTTTAGTGTGTGTGTTTGCATCCGAAGTCCCCAAGATGGAAAATGCTGGATGTCAGTTTCCCAAACTCGTTCACCCTCAGAAATCAAGGGAGACGTCGCTGCATGGTGTTCCTGGCCCACCCACTGGGCAGCAGCAGCCAGGGAAGCGGCCATAGGGGGACCTGGCTTGTGCTCAATATCAATTTCTTGGGTTTCTTCTCAACAGGGCTGTGGTGTGTGACAGGCACACGTTGTGTAGATGTGGGCAGGCCAGCTGACTCCCTCTGGTGTCTCAGCCAGGCCTGGGAGGGCCAGGCTGGGGCTCCGGCCCCTGCGAGGCGCCAGTCCTGTACCCAGGAACACTCTGGTGTCATTACTCAGCATCCCCTCAGAGCTGGAAGAGCCTGGGACGTGGCCCCCCCTTCCCCCCACCCGCTGCCAGTTCCCAGGATGTCAGAGCTACGTTAATGCCTTTCTTTCACACCCTCTTTAGGGTCGGATCCCAGTCAAGTGGATGGCCATCGAGTCCCTCTTTGATCACATCTACACCACCCAGAGTGACGTGTGAGTGGGTGTTGCCTTCCCGGGATGGGGGGAGGTTACATGTGTATAGGGCCATGCCACCTGTCTCAGCACCTCCACTGGGGAACAGTGCTGGCCCTGAGTGCCTGTCAGCTCATGCCAACCATCCACAGTAAACCCTCCAAGCTGCCGGGGCTTTGTGTATTCACTCAGCAGTTGGCGAGGACCCAGGCAGTAATTCTGAAAGCTGCTTCTTTCAGAGTGTAAGGGTAGAGTGTAAGGGTGTGAACCACGGCTGCAGACCCCCTCGCCTCCCTCCCTCTCCTCTCTGGGTGTCTCTGACACACAGGCTCAGCCAAACAGTTCCCCTCCTGTGGGCCTGAGCACAGGCTGGGCTCAAGCAGGTCCTTGGGGACTGGTCCCCGCCCATAGGCAGGGGTGGTCTTGAGTGAGTTTCTAGACAGGTGCCCCAAACTACTCCAAGTTGGGGACCAAAACTCAGTCTTCCAGGTCCAATTACATCTTTTTTTTTTTTTTTTTTTTTTTTTTTT